CCAGAGCTTCCCTCTGGCTGCCCTGGCACCCTGGCAGGGGTCAGGAACCCCCCTGGACAGAGCCCCCAGAGACACTGGCTGTGATCTCTGGCCATGGAAAAGAGTTTTCAACCTCACAGGATCAATTACCAGCTCTGAGTGTTTGATATCAGTAATAATTGTGGCACGGGTGCAAAAGTAAAATTTTAGATGAGGGGTCCAAAGGGGACAAGATGGAGGAAATTGGGTGTGCCTTGTCCTTTTTCTCCTTCTTCATGCCCTCCATGTTTCACTGTGATGTTGGCATTTTTCTGTTGGTTCAGGCTGGGGACACACTGTTCAAGATAAATTATAAATATTGGCCCATTATTGTAAATATGGCACACGTAGTTTCTAATATATAATGTTTGTGATGTCCCACTAAAAAAAGAGCCCCACACCTATGGCAGGACAGCAGAACATGTTAGAGATAAGCAAGAATAAACAACCTTAACAACCAACACAGACAAATTATGGCTTCTTCTTTAGCAACGGGACAAAAAAACAGAGACTTCCTACAATCTCAGAATCACCAATACCACAAATCCCAACGGTCTCCTTCCAGGTGAGCCCCCTTTGGGTGTGCCACAGCCATCAGTGCCTCATTCCCAACAGATCCCGCTTGGTTTTTTTGGGCTGCTCGGGCTCAGGCATGACTGGGAAGGGGATTTTTTACAGCAGGATGGAAGGAAACGTCCCAGGGAGCGCCGCTGGAACACTGGAAGGGATGAAGCCAACCGTGCCAGGCTCTGGCTGCTGGAAAACCCAACTCCTGTTGCTTCTGGGAAAACGCCAGAGGATGAGCAGGAACAGCTCCAGCCTGCTGCAGCTTCTCCTGGTGGGGGGAAACGCCGAGTCCCGCCCCGCTGAGCTGCCAAAAATGCACAAATCCAAGGATTTAATGCCCATGGAGCACTGCACAACCCCCAGACCCCCTCCAACAGTTCCACCTTGGATAAACATCCCCCCAAAATCCACCTGCGGCCTGTCCGGAGGTTCCCTGCCCAAATTTTGGGCTTGGCAGAGGAACGGGAGACTCAGGGTCGGGGCAGACCGCAGGGATAAGGATTTGTTTTAGCTGGAGGATTATTGGGATATTTTTAGGAGTCAGTCGCCATCTGCCGGCAAACTCTGGCTCTTAGGTGGGAATTTGGGGAAAAATTCGGATTTTAAGGGTTCTCCCACTCCCTGTGTGAACCCTGTGGGGTTTTTAGGATGCTGAAGGGGCGCTTTTTGAGGGAGGAAAAGGAAAAGCAAATCCCACTCCAAAAAGCTTTGTGTGGCTCGGAGTGCAAAGGACAACATCGGAGTGGTGAATATCTTGGATATAAATGAGAAAGGTTTAAGAAATTATGGGGGCTTGGGGGATTTTGGATGTTTCTGAAGGCTGGAGCTCATCCTTGTGCTCCATAAGAGAAGATTTGGGCTTAAATAAAGAGGCACAAATTGGATGGAAGGACACACGGACACCTGGATGTCTGCAGGAGGGACCAGAGGCTGGATTAGTGGCTGAAATAGCCTAAATTTGAGGAGAGATTTGTCCAATAACCCAAAATTAGGATAAAACGGCTCAAAATTAAGAGAAAAAACCCTAAAACTAAGATAAGAGACCCAAAAATTTAAGAGAAAACAAAACTATAGGAAAACAAACAAACAAAAAAGGCCCCAAAATTAAGAGAAAGCACAACAAAATCAAGGAAAATCACTTTAAGGGAAAACTCCTCAAAATTGTGGGAAAACACACCAAAATTAAGGGAAAGGCCCTAAACTTAAGAGAAAGCACACCAAAATCAAGGGAAATCACCTAAAAATTAAGGGAAAACTCTTCAAAATTGTGGGAAAACTCACCAAAATTAAGGGAAAGGCCCCAAAATTAAGAGAAAGCACACCAAAATAAAGGAAAATAATTTTAAAATTAAGGGAAAACTCCTCAAAATTGTGGGAAAACACACCAAAATTAAGAGAAAGGCCCCAAAATTAAGAGAAAGCACACCAAAATCAAGGAAAATCACTTAAAAATTAAGGGAAAACTCCTCAAAATTGTGGGAAAACACACCAAAATTAAGGTAAAATATCTCATTAAGGGAAAACATCTCAAAACTTCCGGAAAACACAAAAATTGAAGGAAAACACAAAAATGGAAGGAAAACGCCTCAGACGCACGCGCCGAGCGCGGTCCTCCCGGCCGCCAGGGGGCGCTGTGGCGCCCCGCCCCGCCGCCGCTTCCCGCCCTTTCCGCGCGCCGCGCGTGCGTTGCCGGGCGCGGGCCGGCGGGCGGCGCGCGCATGCGCGGGGCGCGGGGCCCGGCGGCGGACGGGAATTAAAATGGAAGATGAGGAGGTCGCGGAGAGCTGGGAGGAGGCGGCCGACAGCGGGGTGAGGGCGGCGGCGCGGCGCGGCGCGGCGGGCCCCGGGCGCCGAGGGGAGGCGCGGGCGGGCGGCGCGGCGCGGCGCTGCTTGAGGGGGCGGCGGCGGGGCGCGTCCGGCGGCGCGGCGGCCGCACGGCGCTGCTAGGCCTCTTAAAGGGACCGCGGGCTCGCTCGGCGCGGGGGGCTGCGCGCCGCCCCCAGCCCCGCTGCTCGCCGGTGCTGCGGGGCCCTCCTCCGAGCAGCTCCCTGCCCGTCCTCCGCTGCTCGGTGCGCAAACCCCCCTGGGCTCGCACAGAGCTCCGCTGGCCGCGGGGTGAGGCAGGAGGGGCGAGCGGAGCCGGGATGTGCGACCCCGGCGTGGCGGCGCCCCCGGCGGGGCTGCGGGCGCACACCCAAGGCCTTTCCCCGGTCGGAACGTGCTCCGTCCCCGGGCACAGCGCCGGGAGTCCCGGCCCGGGGCTGGGGCTGGGCCCTGCTGCAGCAGCGGCTCCGGAGCTGGGCTGGCATCGCCGCTCGGGGACCCGAGCCTGTGAGCGCTGTGCTTGCACATACAGCCGCCCCTGCGAGGGGAAACTCCGCCGGGCAAACTCTGCTTTCAGCGCTTTCCCGAGGATCAGAGGGCACGCGGACCTCCGGAGCCTGGACGGGACACTGTGGGCGAGGGATTGGGTTACACCTGGCCAGAGGCAGGGAGCAAAATCCAGCCTGTAACCGAACGCCCGAGAGGGGCCAGTGCCAGGCTGGCAGCGCAGCCCTCGCCCGCCCCTCCTGCCAAGGCCGGGGGATCGGAGTTAATTCCAGCGCTCCATGCACGGACACGGCTGCAGCCTCGGCAGCCCCATGACTGTGGCCTTGAGTAATGGTTTAAAATGGTCCTGATGCTCCAATCCTGCCATGGAGCGTCCTCTCAGTTTGTCCTTCCTGCTGGTACCTCCCAGGTGCTTTTCCTTAGAAGGAGAAATCCCTGTCACTTGTCCTTTCTCACACCTTTTGCCAGTCCAGACTGTCGGGAATTCGTGCTCATGACCTCAGCGGCTTGTGCTGATGAGCAGGGAGATTCCCTGGGGAATCACACAATCCTCGAAGTTGGAAAAGCTCTCCAGGATCGCTGAGTCCTCCCTGGGCCCAATCCCCACCTTGTCCCCAGCCCAGAGCACTCAGTGCCACACCCAGCCCTTCCTTGGACACCTCCAGGGATGGGCACTCCAAACCTCCCTGGGCAGTTCCAAGGCCTCAGCACCCTTTCCATAGGGAAATTCCTGCTGGTGTCCAAGCTGAGCCTGCCCTAGCCCAGCCTGAGACCATTTCCCTTTGTCCAGTCCCTGTTCCCTGGGAGCAGAGCCCGACCCCCCTGACTGTCCTCTCCTGTCAGGAGCTGTGCAGAGCCACAAGGTCCCCCCTGAGCCTCCTTTTCTCCAGGCTGAGCCCCTTTTCTGCTCCCCCAGCTGCTCCTGTAGGCCTGGCAGGAGGAGCAGCTGCTGTTGCAGTTGTTGGGCTCCGGATGCCTGCGGAGCAGTTGGAGGGGTGTGGGAAGTGAGCTGCCTGTGCAGGCTGGGAGAGGGGCAGGAGCTGCCCTGGGCCATCCCTGGGGGGCAGGAAGGGGATTTCACTCTGTGCCTGGCAGGAAGGAGCCCTGGAGCTGCTGGTGGTGCCCACAGGAAGCAGGATGGAGCACAGGAGAGCCCAGCCTCCCCTTGTCCCGTGGTTCTCGTGATCCTGATGGATGCTGGTGCTGCTGGGGACATTCGGGTGTCCCAAAGTCACAGCCAGAGGAGGTAGCAGGTGGGGACAGGGCAGCGAGGGCAGGAGGAGGCTCTGCTGTAGCACCAGCAGATCCTCCCGAGGGGCAGCTCTGATCTCTCCTGTGACCAGGGACAGAACCCAGGGAAGGGCTGGAGCTGGGCCAGGGGGGTTTGGGTTGGAGACCAGGAAAGGTTCTTCCCCAGAGGGTGCTGGCACTGCCCAGGGAATGGTTCCAGCCCTGAGGCTGCCAGAGCTCCAGGAGCCTTTGGACAGGCTGGGATTGTTGGGGTGTGTGTGCAGGGCCAGGGGTTGGACTCTGATCCTTGTGGGTCCCTTCCAGCTCGGGACATTCCCTGGTTCTGTGGTTTTCTTCCACCCAAGGCAGCACAAGGTGGATCCCAGCACACAGGCACAGGGCTTGGCAGTCCTGGCTGGGGCTCAGGAGGTTGCAGGAGAACAGAGACACCAAGGAGCAGCTCCAAACACACCCAGATCTGACAGTGCCAGGACACAGGGAACGGGCAGGGATGGGTGGGATATTGGGAATTAGGAATTGTTCCCTGGGAGGGTGGGCAGGCCTGGCACAGGTGCCCAGAGCAGCTGTGGCTGCCCCTGGATCCCTGGCAGTGCCCAAGGCCAGGCTGGACAGGGCTGGGAGCAGCCTGGGACAGTGGAAGGTGTCCCTGCCCATGGCAGGGGTGCCACTGGATGAGCTTTAAGGTCCCTTCCAGCTCAGTCCATCTGTGATTCTGTGATGCTGATACTTCACACTGTTGAGAACCTGAGTTATTTTATTTTTTAGACCCTTCAGCACATGAGGGAACGGTAGAGATGTAGCAGGATTTTGGGTTTTACAAGATACATTGTCTGTGTCCTAGCATGTAATTTTTTAATATTTCACCCACAGTGTGTTCATTGGGAAAGCAAATACATCAGATTTTTAGTTCTGAGGGGTTTTTGTTTGTAGTTTTTGGTGAGGCTGAGAGCTTTTGTTCAAGGCCTTAAAGAAGTTTTGTCAGCAAGAGGCAGCTCTGGGCTGAACAGAGATCCCATGGCCTCCTAATTAAAATTCACCTCATTTCTCTGTTGCAGTTCTCCCAAATCAGACACCAGGAAAATCTCATTAGGTTGAAGAAAACCCCCAGAAGCCCCACACAGCTGAGTTTGGTCACTCAGAGAGCTGTAAAACCAGTCCTCAGGTGACTGTTTGGGTGATTAACGTGGCCTCAGTTTGTCTCTTGCTCTTGTGCCATCAGAATTGCCCCAGAAACGGAGCAGCTCCTTGGGAATGTGCCACCCCTCAGTGCCCTCTGCTCTGGCAGGGTCCCCTGTGCCAGGGCCACAGGGTGCAGCAGAGCTCCCTGGGGCCTCTGGGTCCCTGTCACCTCCCTGGTGTCTAAGGAGAGCCCTGGAATGCCTGTGGAATGGGAGTTACAGATGGAAAACCAGGGCCTGAGTAACGTGTGAGTTGTCTGAGGTAGGAGTAAGGGTGGAAAGGCCTTCAAAGGCCAGTGTGGGTCAGAAAACACTAATGAGTCCTAATTCCTGGTTTGTTTTCCTGTGATGTTGAGTGGCCCAGCTGGCAAACGCAAATGAGAGGTCAGTTGGTGACACTCAGGCCTGTTTACCTGGCTAAACCAATAATTAAATGTTAGGTGGGAAGCTGGGCTCCAAAACTGGAATGTGTCCATGGTCACGGGTGATCCTCAGCTTGGAATTGGTGCTTGGCAAATGGATTCATTGGTTATTCCTTTGCCAACCAAGATTTGAGTGTGTCAGAGTCTTAATAACTGATCTCAGGTCAGAATCTCTTTCAGCTTCATCCCAAGGGGGGAGACAGCTCTGATCTCTCCTGTGAGCAGGGACAGGACCCAGGGAAGGGCTGGAGCTGGGCCAGGGGGGTTTGGGTTGGAGATCAGGAAAGGTTCTTCCCCAGAGGGTGCTGGGCACTGCCCAGGGAATGGTCCCAGCCCCGAGGCTGCCAGAGCTCCAGGAGCCTTTGGACAGGCTGGGATTGTTGGGGTGTGTGTGCAGGGCCAGGGGTTGGACTCTGATCCTTGTGGGTCCCTTCCAGCTCAGGACATTCCCTGGTTCCCTGCAGGTCAAACATTACTCTGGCAACCCAAACCAGGTTAAAAACCCCACGGAATTAACCTCCTTGTGTGTCCTTTTCCCCCTGGAGTTTGCAGCCTGAGCTCCCAGCTGCTGCCTGCAGTGTCCCCAGGAGGGAAACCTGCCCCGTGCCCGGTCACCGGCTGCTCCGGGAGGATGGAGCAGCCACAGGCTGGGGATGGACCTTGGCCTGGCCTGGGGGCTGTCCCCTGCTCGTGTCACAGTGCTCAGGGAGGGCAGGTCACCGGGGAGGCAGAATGTCTCCTGTGTGTCACCCAGACAAACCCATGAGGGTGGCCTGGGTGTCACCTGCCGGCCAAGGCTCCGGGTCACTGGATCTGAAGGTGTCGGCTGCTGGACTGGGAGGTGCTGGGTGGGGTTGGAGTCCAGCAGAGTCAGAAGGGAAACATTTTGGAGTGTGACACTGTGACCTCCCTCTGCTAATGAGTGCTGTGGGCAGAGGCCACGCTAACGAGGCTGGGGTGTGCAGGAGCTGTGTCCACCAGGAGAAGTGGGATTTGCTGTCAGGGCTGAGAGGGGCATGGAATTCCAGAATGGTTGGGGTTGGAGGGACCTTAAAGCTCATCCCATTCCATGTGAAGGGACACCTTCCACTGTCTCAGGCTGCTCCCAGCCCCGTCCAGCCTGGCCTTGGGCACTGCCAGGGATCCAGGGGCAGCCACAGCTGCTCTGGGCACTTGTGCCAGGGCCTGCCCACCCTCACAGGGAACAGTTCCTAATTCCCAATATCCCACCCATCCCTGCCCTCTGGCAGGGGAAGCCATTCCCTGTCCCTCCATCCCTGTCCCCAGTGCCTCTCCAGCTCTCCTGGAGCCCCTTCAGGCCCTGGAAGGTCTCTGAGCTCTCCCTGGAGCTTCTCCTCTCCAGGGGAACATTCCCAGCTCTCCCAGCAGAGCTGCTCCATCCTCGGATCCCCCTGGAGCCTCCTGCGGCCTGGCCCCAGCAGCTCCAGCTCCTCCCTGTGCTGGGCCAGGGCTGGGGCTGCTCTGCAGGTGCCGAGGGGCTCACCTGGGGGGCAGAGGGGCAGAGCCCCCCTCTCCTGCTGCCATTGTCCTGCCACAAACCCAGGATGGACTTGGACTTTCCACACCAAAAAGATTTTGGGCAAACTTCCACCTAAATTTGCTTTAG